TTGTACAATGTCCCCAACACCAGCTCCAGGGTAAGCACACTCTATCTCTCATCTTATTCCTAATATCAAAAAGCACGGTCAAAATATCTTACCTGAGAGTCCCAACCACCCCAAGAATGCGCTTTACCTCCAATTAGCAGGGGCAGTAGAACCCTTTACCTTCACTGGCGACTGAAGTACATTCATCCTGAAGAACAGAGAAGCGAATTACTACTTCAGATCTTCACTCTTAACTTTCCTTACTCTGATGCGCCTCCCATTAATGAGAACCACTTCGCCACTTGTAGCAGGAGCTGGCTGCACTCACTGCTGGTATCTGTTGCTACCTCCCACCCACAGCCTCCTCACAGCGGGGGGGGTGAGGGGGACAGACTGGTGGCAACCTCACTGCTAGAAGCCTATTCCCCACAACCCAGCCACCTCACACTCTCTCCCAGAACCCATTGAGGTGGACCTTCAGCCTCCTAATCTCCTCCTGGAGAGCTAAGAGACCTCCTCCGTCAACTCACCAACCTCATTTTTTAAAACACTGCAGAAGCCAAGCCATCTTTGTAACCGTCCACTGCTAAACCCCAAAGCAGCTCAGGGTCCGTGACCTCACGTGACGACTGACCACTGACCACTCATTACTTACCTTAAAATATAGGGTGAGATGAGTAGTATTTATTGTAAAAAATCAAGTGTGGTATGGTATGGTAGTCAGCTGGCTACCATACAGGCCAACCCACCCACACATAATATTCTATTACATTTAAGCATCCCAGAGCGATAAAATGTAAATACAGTTCACTCATTACTTACCTTAAAATATAGTAGTCTTAATGTACGGGTCAGGAGTAAGTAAATAGATTAAATGAATAAATGAGAGAAAGAAATGAGTGCTGAGAGAGGACAGGCGCAGAGTTCTGTCACAAACCAGCGAAGTGTAATTTTGTAAACAGTGTAACACTTCTGTTTGTGTACAAGTTACTTGTGTACAGGTAGTCTCTACATTGATAACGGTAGAAATAAATAAAGAAGAACACTCTCCCATTCATATGTAACATCAATTTGAGTAGAATGGATGCTCTGAGTGAAGGCAATGGAATTAAGTCACCTCTGACTTTTTGGTTATCCTAGGATTCTCTACACATATGTTATGTATATAATCTTTGTAACTGTTTTTGTGTATACCTGAATAAACACATAAGAAAGGAATAATTTTCTACAGTTACCCACCATAATACATTTTTCTCGTAAGGTTAGATTAGAGAAAATGTTTTATTCTTGTGCATCCTCTGTACAGGAGTTATTCTGGCTGCCACATATCATATTTATGTTTATTTATTCTAATTGGGGTGTAAATTTATCATCTTTATGTTAATGTATCGTGTTTAATAAATAATTTTTTAAAAAAATATGCACGGATGGATTAATGACAATGTTTAATATTAACCTAATATACAACAATATAATGAGACTCGGTGATTATTATTATTATTATAACGTATTATCAATTCTAATATGGCGTCACTCGTGCAAGTCGTCTGCACCACATCCATATTTTATGTTTATTTATTCCTATTGTGGGGTGTTTTTATCATCTTTTTATGTTTATGTAATCATGTTATTATATAATTTTGAAAAAATATCATAGAAGGATAATAAAATGTGTATTTAACGTAAATAAACGACATTTAATGAGACTCGATGATTATTATTATCATTACTAATAAACGTCCTGGGAGACATAAGACACTCTTACTGATTTTAATGTGTACCTTCATGCCAGCACAGTATGTAGTTTAATAGTACAGGTATATTACATAAGTATGATTATCAGAGCATAATAAAATATGAAATAACTTTTAAAAACATTTTGAATTTTGGAGTTTTCCAGACAAAAAAGAGAGACTTAGTTGCTTAACTGAGCTCACAAGAATGTAAACAAACAGGGTGGGGCGCGGTGACCGTATTAGAAAGTCAGGTGGGGGGAGCCGTATAGCGAGTTTTGGTCATAATTTGAAATGACCGTATTAGCAGAATGTCATAAAGTGAAACGCCGTAAAGCGGGGCCCTGCTGTATTATTATACATATTATATTATTATTGTATTATACTGTTATTATATGCATTATTATTATAAATATTATTATTATTATTACAATAAAAATAATTTGTAATTTTTATTCACACAAAAAATATAAGATTTACTGTTATGCAGACTACTACCTTATTGCAATAATTGTATAAATAATGTCAACCCATTCACGACTGCATATTGGAATGGACGGTGACGTCATTTGTTTACTCTTGAACATGGCCAAGCAATCGAACTTTTCTCCTACGTTGAGCTCAATTCCAAGGTACAGTGGAACCTCAAATTTCGAACTTATTCCATTCCAGGAGCTAGTTCTAAATTCGAAAAGTCTGAAATTCGAAGCAATAATTTCCCAATAAGAAAAAATGGAAACTACAATTAAATCCATTACCAGAAACCCAAAATATTCACAAAAAAAATACACCCAATTTTAGAGATTAATTACAGTTTTACATACACACAACAAATGCTACAGTCTTTAATTATGTATAGTAATATAAAATAACATTTTTACTTACCTTTATTGAAGATTGTTGATGGCATCTGGAAGATAAGGAGTGAGGCGAGAGGGAGTTTGGGTTATTGTTTGGAATGAAATCCCCCTCCATGAGGACTTCCGATCAAAGCCCCTTCTGGGGTTTGCTCCCTTCTCTGTATTTAATGCCACAAGGGACCAGCTGAGAGTCATTGGAACCCCAGTCTCCAACAAAATAACTGTCTACAGTCCTCTGTTTCTGTCTCACCAAATAACTATCACAAGTCCGCCTGTTCTGTCTCACAAAATAACTGTCCACATCGTCTGTTTTCATCACAAAATATACTCCACAGTCGCTGTTTCCTGTCTCACAAAATAACTGCCACTAGTCCTGCTGTACATCCTGGCAACGCTCAACAAGTCTCACTCCAATCCTCATTACTTCTGTATATTTCCTTCTTCACATCTATGTGTTTCTCACTTGCTTACCCAGGGGTCCAGCTACAAGTATCTTTATGGGCCCATGGCAGCTTATTCACAGCCTCACAAGCACTAACGCAATTAAATAATCGTAAAATGTGTGAATGAGATCGCAGGTTAGTGTTCACTCAAGCATAAACAAAGCTAGACTGCTCACGGCGAATGCGTGGGGACGCGGACAGAGCGGGCCAGCGGACAGGTCCCATACCCGGCGGTCCGAAAATAGGGGCGCATTCGATAATAGGGACACAGTTTGTCCGAAATAATGGTCTTATTTTCGAAACATTCAATATGTGATACATTCAATTTTTTGAGGTTTCACTGTACTTTTCATCATGAAAGCAGTCAAAAATCATGTTTATTTCTGTAATATATCTTCCATGCTATCAAATAAGACCAAAAAAAACGAGAGTACAACCATAAAAACCATGTGAAAATACCGCTGAAGGGTGGCTAATTGCTGAGAAGTGAACTCCATTATTTATGCTCCAATTTCTTTCATTTTTGGTGTACTTTAAGATGCATGTTTCCATCATACATGGCCCAAGTTTCAATAAGATAGTCCAACAAACAAATGAAATCTAATTCTCTAGATCAAGAGCAAGAGCCCCTCACCAACATCAAGGAACCTCCCTTGAGGTCTGCTTGCTTATGGAAATTTCGCTCGTGTATGGAAGCAAAAAATTGACCCATTGACTGCTCATATTTGGAAAAACTCGCACATGGATATGCTCGCAAGTAGAGGTTCCACTGTACAGTGGACCCCCGCATAACGATGGCATCACATAGCGATTATTTCGCATACCGCTTACTTTAATTGCAAAAATTTTGCCTCACATACCGCTTAAAAACCCGCTTACCGATTTTCGTCCGAGACGCGCTCACATGTTCCGCCGGTGGCATTGTTTACCAGCCAGCCTCCGCGGTAACATCCAAGCATACAATCGGAATATTTCGTATTATTACAGTGTTTTCGGTGCTTTTTCTGGAAAATAAGTGACCATGGGCCCCAAGAAAGCTTCTAGTGCCAACCCTACAGCAATAAGGGTGAGAATTACAATAGAGATGAAGAAAAAGATCATTGATAAGTATGAAAGTGGAGTGCATGTCTCCGAGCTGGCCAGGTTGTATAATAAACCCCAATCAACCATCGCTACTATTGGTGGTACAGCTGCTGCTGCACTGTCAGCTGCTGCTGCTGCTGTAGCACCGTTGTTGGTGTGGCTTATTGAGAATACCAAGAAACAATTAACCCCAGAGGATTTGCCACCCAGGATAACCCAAAAAAGTCAGTGTCATCGAAGACTGTCTAACTTATTTCCATTGGGGTCCTTAATCTTGTCTCCCAGGATGCAACCCACACAAATCGACTAACACCCAGGTGAACAGGGAAAAATGCCTGGAACTAGTGCTCATATTGGTGAATTTAAAGCCAGCAAAGGTTGGTTTGAGAGATTTAAGAAAACGTAGTGGCATACACAGTGTGATAAGGCCTGTTCTGGAAGAAAATGCCAAACAGGACCTACAGTACTCAGGAGGAAAAGGCACTCCCAGGACACAGTGTCTCATCAGTCATTGCTGCATCTTCAATAAAGGTAAGTGTCATTTATTCTTCATTTAGTAGACTAGTACATGCACAATATATACTGTGCATGTACTACTCTACTATTGTGCATGTATCCTTCTCTTTGTGTGTGGGAAAATGTATATTTCATGTGGTAAAATTTTTTTTTTCATACTTTTGGGTGTCTTGCACGGATTAATTTGATTTCCATTATTTCTTATGGGGAAAATTCATTCACATAGCGATTATTTCGCATAACAATTACCCCTCTTGCACGGATTAAAATCGTTAACCGGGGGTCCACTGTATATGTATCTGTTCTGCTGTGTATAAATTTCCTAAAATTAACTGTAAACCTGCTTTTAATCAAATAAAATTAATGTTTGATTTTTTCCCAAACAGGTGTCATTGAGGTCGGGGATCCCACATCGCAATACAGTACATCAAAAGTGGCTCCAGCCTTTTAAAAATATAAGAGGCTGTTCTTAATGAATTTTGTGGTTGTTCAGGTTCTGTAGTTAATACTGCAGCTTACTTGACTTCTTGACATAGAAAACATTGATTTACTGGCAAGTGTAGACACTGTAAAAAAAGAAAACAGTTTCTAGTGAAATTTAACTCTAAAGTGTGAAAGAGCTAGCTACAAACACTCGTGGATATTGGTCACCTGCTGTACCTGCTATATCCTATATACTGCACAACTTAGGTGAGTACGTTACAGTATAAGAAAGTAATCATTATTTTATTCTCAAATAACTTACATTCATCTTATATTTGTTGTAATATATCTAATTATAGCTAATGTTTGCACAATGGAAATTGCTTGTACATCTTGTAGTACTGTTCATTGGAATACCAAAACTTCAGGACTGATTTCTAGGATTACCGAAAATTTTATTTTGGCACTCTGACAATGATATGGTTCTTTACTTCTGCTGAATTCTGCACATTGGGCGGCCCAATAGTCTCAGCTGCTTGCTGCCTGGTAACTGCCACTGTAGTGGAAATAAATATACTGTCCAATGCTGGGCTTTATCAAGTAGTGTACAGTGTTCAAGAATAAGCAAATACATTGCCTTGTGAGGCAAATAAGCACTATGAAGTTGGGCTTGGAGAAAGAAAGGGCATATTTGAGGTCAGGAAATTGCTAAATCAAGTATAGGCCAGGTCAGGTATTGGTGACAGTAAAGGGTGGGATTGAGGTGACAGCTTTAATTGCTTCATTATATGAATCACAGACAGTTTGGAAATAGGTCCAGCCAGCATGTACACTTAGTTGTTTTGCTCCGTGGTATTAGCGAGGTAGATCACTGTTGCTTCCAAAATTCTACATCTGTCCCTGTCGTTCACGTGATGTAACAGTTGTACTCTTCACCAGTCCATGATGTGAAAACAAAGGTTGCAATGGACTACAAATGCATTCTTGGTTTTACTCCTCCTACAGGCATATCTGTATTACTGAAGGCATAGCTGGAGGCTTTGGCTGGTTTCCCCTGACTTAGAATTTATCGCATCCACCACACACGTGCACTATACTCCAGCTGTGCAATTAGTTTTGGGTTTAGGGCTTCTGTTAAAATAAATAAAGAAATATATATACTGTATTGTTGTTTTTACACAGGGTTAGACAATGTTAGGTTAAGGATACCTAGCTTTATTGACAAACTATTTACAAGTTAAGGATTCCTAACTGTATTGACAAGGTGAGAGATGTTACCTACATCAGCTCATTTGAAAGCATTTTTATTGTTATGAAACATGCAAGTAGGGATCAGGAGGAAGTTGGAGCCATCTGTAAACCAGCATTTTCATTTGATCAACTGACTTTATCTCATTGATATCATTATGCTGTACGAGCACATTGCAGACTCGAGGCATCCTGGGGATAAATGATCTCAGATGAAGTGATGTTCCGGAGAAGGGTACAGCCAGAGTGAAGCTGCTGCTTTCTGCCCGTCTTGTGGTATAGAGGCTGGCTTCTCGCTGTTGGCCTTGTACATAACAGTAAGGCCGCCCACATCCCTTCTGTGTTGAAGGCTTGGCTGAAATGACAGATCTATCCAGGATGGGTCCAGGTGAGAGATGAGGCATCTTGCTCTGTTCTCTACTCTGTCAAGCAGTCTTTGATAGTTTTTGTGATGGGGACTGCTACATCCATAGTTTCTATTCAGAGAATCAGGGCAAGAGAATCAGGGAGTCTACACAGTAGGAAGCACTAGTTGTTTATTGATGCTGGTATTCTCCTTGGGTATGCTGTGTATGAGGAAGATTTCTGCTTGTGGGAGTGGATAGTGTGCAAATACCTCGCCAATGTGTTCTTGTTCATCTAAGAGCTTTTGATTGCTGCATTTTCAAAGTACTCTGAGGTCAGTGGTCAGTACGCTGAGGTCAGTGGTCACCTGCAGTCATACCTGTCCTAAGCTTTGGGAGTTAGCGTGGGGTGTTACCAAGCACCATGGCTTGTTGTAGTGTTTTAGAAAATCAGGTTAAAATGTTGAAGAAGGAGGTTCTACTTCTTCAGGAGGAAAATAGGCGGCTGAAGCTTCGCCTAGATGAGTTTGGGAGTGAGTGTGAGAAGGATCTAGCTGGTAAGAAGGAAATGGTCACTAGCAGTGATAGTGGCAGCCACTTTAATTGGCAAGTGGTTTACAGTTCAGGAAGAAGGAAGATAAGGAGGGTTAACAGAGAAGATGTGAAGGTAGAAAATCGATTCTCTGTTTCCAGGACTAGAGTACTTCAGTGGTTAGTGAGGTTGAAGGTACCACTGATTCCCCTGCTAATCAAGGTAAGAATATTTTAATAGTAGGAATTCTCAGGTAAGATATATGGACCGTGCTTTTTGTAACAGAGACAGAAAGGTCAGAGGGTGTGCCTTCCTGGAGCTGGTGTTGGTGACATAGTCAGCAGGTTGGATAATATTATGTCAGGTAATGGGAACAAGCCCATTATCTGCCTTAGTGCTGGGGGTAATGACATTGGAAAGGGCAGGAGACAGGAGCTGCTAGATAAGTACAGGTCAGCCATAGAAGTAGTTAGGTCTATGGGAGGGATCCCATTCATATGTAGCATTTTACCTAGAAAGGGAGTGGGCAATGAATGGATGTCTAGGGCAATTATCAATCAATCAATCAATCAAGTTTATTCTCTATAAGGATTACAATGCGGGGTTTACAGATTTTGAATATTGTGTGGTTTACATGTTTTAAAATACTAAAAAAACGGTTTGGCACAGGAACCTGCATGATAGGCATTTTGGGCAAAAATTGATTAATTCTAAACTTTAAATTATTACAGATTTTTGGGGTTTTAGGCAAAGTGACTACATTATTTTTTTGAGTTGAGCAATGTGAAGCTTTTGTTTTGGACAATACATAGTTTTCATTTGGAGTATCAAGGCAAACTTATGAATTTGGGGATTCATTATTTTAAGATTAAGATTTTTTTTCTTGTTTATAGTCAAGGGGTGAGTGGTGTAAGTGTGAACCACCAGGGGTTTACATGTAGTTATTTGAGGGGTGTATCAGGGAGATAAGATGTTTCCTAACTGTAGTTTTGGAAGAAATAAATTGGTCTGCAGTTCAAAGGGGTTTTCGGGTGGGTTTTCCCGATTTTAGGCCCTTTGACACACCTGTTTTTTGAAAAGGGTTTTAAAGAGACACGGGGAATGTATAGGAGGTTTGTTTTGGGTGTTATGCCTGTGGGTCCTGTCACAACTTCAAGAAAGCTTTTAGGTAAAGGTTAAATTTTGGAAATTTTAAGGTACTGTAGTGTAGATTGACAGTAGAAAGTGTGGTGTTCTGAACAGGGAGTAAGTTTTATCTATAAAGGGTTTGGGGAGGGGGGGGGGTGTTCCCAGGAGGGGATTTGTGATTATTCTTACTGGGTTTTTTGTTGGGTTATTTTTGGGCTTTGAGTGTTGCTGCGTTGATCCCAAGCACAATAGCATAGGGGGGGTAGGGATAAGTGAGTGAGTGGTATAGGTGAGAAGGGGAGTTTGCGGCACATAATATTGTTCTTGGAGGGATCCCCCCTGTTTTGGATACCTTTTTTGTTATGTTTGGATATGGGTGCTGAAATTTAGGTTTTTTTTTCGAGGTATGACCTAGGAATTTGCCCTCATTTGTCTGGCAATTAGATGTTGTCGATCTTAATGTTTAAATTGGCAACACCTGCTCTGCGCCAAAAACATAAAAGTAGTAGGTTTTGTCAGTGTTAAGTGTAAAGGGTTTTTTGGTGTTCCAAGTCAGAAATTTTTAGCAGCCCTCGTTGACAGTGGTTTGAGGGTGGAAAAATTAGGGTGGGAGATGCGTAAGTCGTGTTGTCGCAAAGAGAATGGGTTTCAAGGTTGGGATACGTTTTTGGGAAAATCATTAAAGTAAATGAGGAAAAAGGGAGGGGACCAAGGACACTTTTCCCGCGGAACTTCGTTCAATGGGCCCTGTTGTGAGGGTTTGTCTTTAAAGGGGGACATTTTTATACCTTTAGTAAGGTAGGATTTGAAAATGCAAAAGGCATGGCCTCTTAACCTAAGGTCGTTTGTGGAGTAGGATGCCGTGGTCTATGTGTAAACCTTTTTTAGGTAATAAAATTCAAGGGAATTCCTTTTTTTCCAATGCTGTGTAAGCAGATCTGATTTTTACAATTGCCATTAGTGCTTTTATTTTTCCTAAAACCCAAATTTGGCAGGGGTTGGTATTTTTTTGGGGTTTAAAAATGAATATGTTCCTGTGCAGAGTTTCTCGAATTTTTTGGTGCAATGGTAAGTTTGAATTTTGGCCTTAGTTGTTTACATTGTAGGGTCACCCCCTTTATGTATTGGTGTAACCCTTGCTTTTTGAGTAGTGTCGGGAAAGTGCTAGGTTCTGTGACTTTTTAAAAAACAATGTAATAGCATGCAAAAGGACGGGGGACGCCGCTTTGTAAAATAATGGGGGATGTGAGACAGTTCTGAGTTATTTTTGAGTGACTTTATTCGCGGTGACTTCTGTGGGCTCAGTTGGTCAAGAAGAGGGAATTTGGGAAAATTCCCATTTGGTAGTCCCCCGGGTCGGGCGTTGGTAGGGGGAATTTTTTTGGGGGAGGCCAGTCCCCGTTTGAGAAAAAGCGTTTTCTGTTAGTTGTATCAGTGGGATGCGTGGTGTTTCATTAGGTTTGGTTAGGGAAATTTCTTGGTTTTTTTCAGTTTGTGGGGCCCCCCGAATTGGGGAAAATGTTTTCCCGATCTTTTTTATATTCTTTTGCAGTGAAATTTTGGAGTAGTCGTTGTTTGGCTTTTTTTTATTAATTTGGTTAAATGTGAATATTGTTTAAAAATATCTTTTGTATTAAGCCCTTTATTTGCTTTTCATTTGGTGTTTTTATCAATGGATTTTAGAATGCGGGTTGGGGTTGCCATGGGCAACGAGCTGTTTATTCATGATCTGTTTTATTTTTATAGGACAATGTTTGTTGTATTGTCTAAGTATCTTGTTAAGAAAAATGTCTGTCCAATCGTTAATACCATTGGCATTGGAGAATTCTGTAGGCCAGTCAACAGTCTCTAGGTCTGCTGTGAAATTCCTTATTCAGGCCTTGTCATGGAGTCTAAATGAAACTTTGTTGTATTCGAGTGGGGGCTTACTAATGTTTGTTAAGAGGAAGGTAGGGTAGTGGTCTGTAGTGCTGTCTGTGATTATCCCTGATTTAAGAGGGGCTAGTATATTGGTC